ACAGACCCTGACCTCCTACAAGGCATCAGCCCTGGTTCTAGCCATCTAAATCCTCAGCACTTACCTCTTGTTCGGGGCTCAGAGTTTGAATTCACATAATCTTTTTTCAAATTGAATTAATCCCCTCCCTGCCTCTATCACCCAAGGCCAGGCATCTTTAGTTCCCGGTGAAACTATGGTAACAGCATCCTAACTGCTCTCCCTCCCAATCCAGGCTGATGTTCCGCCCTGGGTTTTAGCTCCACTTTTGCCACAGGCTAATGTGATCTAAGCACACTGCTTTCTCTCTAACACTTAGCTTCCTTATCTGTAAAATGGAGACAAAGCCTCCTCCCACCCGGTAGTGGAGGGGACTCAAGGAAAACTACATGTGAAGGGCATCCACATAACCCAAATTTAGCTATTGCTACTCCTGCTTTTTACCTACTTGTTTACTTTGGAGAGGGAAGGGGGAGGGGCAGAGGGAGAGAGAGAGAATCTGAAGCAGGCTCCGTGCCCAGTGCGGGGCCAATAGGGGGCTGGATCTCAAGACCCGGAGGTCGTGATCTGAGCCGAAATCAAGAGTCGGCTACTTAACTGCCTGAGCCACCCAGGCACCCCGCTATTTCTGCTTTTTGAAAGGCAGTGTCCATCAGGGAAGAAGAAAAGAGTACCTGAAAAGTCTCTGTCCCGGAAGTTAAAGTACATCCTGTGATTTTGAACAAGTTTCTCTAGCTATACATCAACAGGTGAGCTCTTTCACGGGGTCCTGTTTCCTCCAGAAATTGTATTTGATGTGCCCTTCTGTGAGACCAGTCCCAGAGGCAAAGTGGCAAAGATTCTTCTCCACCCTTAGAATTAAATACAAATCTCAGAGAACATTGGTGCAGTCTTTTACCATTCATGGAACACTTTCATGTCCATCATTGGATTTGAAAAGGGCTTTCGGGGGGGGGGGGGATCACAGCCAAATCTTAACAGTGGTAATTTCTGGATGGTGGAATTGGGCATGATTTTAATTTTGTGTGTGTTTTCCTAAAGCTTCAAAATCTTCGATTTTGGGGCTGGATGGAGATGATGGTTGTACGACATTGTGAATTCACTAAATGCCCCTGAATTACACATAAAAGTGTACGATTTTATGTTAGCTTTGTGGATTTCACCTCATTACAAAATGTTCTGCAATACACATGCATGATTTTATAGCCATTTACTGAAAAGTGTTTGAGTCGAGAACAAAAACGGATTCTTAAGGCTCAAAACCAGTTCAGTTAGCTGACACTCTCCGCACCCATGTCTCCAAGTTAACTAGTCCGGGCGGCCAGCCTGCAGCGCGCTCCTCCGACCGCCAGGGGTCTTCACGGAGCCCTCGCGTCCCCACCCGCGGAGGAGCGTCTTCTCTTGCGCCTTTGAAGCGCGTATACACGCGAGAGGCGTGGTCGGGACTGGCCGCTTGGCTCGCGCGGCTGCCGGCCACCTGGGCCTTGACCCTACGCTTCTCAGGCTTCGGTGGGCCCTGGCCCGTGGTCCGAGTCATCACCCGTCCCTCCAGTTCCCACCTCCGGCTGCAGCCTTCTGCTGTCCGGGCCGGTCCCCGACTTCCATCTCTCCACCCTTAACCGGCTGCCCCAGTATCGGTTACCCGGCCCGCTGTTCTCTGCCCTGCCCTGCTCCGCCAAGGGTCCCTGTCTCTGAGCCTCAGCCCCATGGCGCTGCAGGCGCTGCAGAGCTCGGGGGTGGCCTTCCGCAAGATCCTGTCTCATTTCCCCGAGGAGCTGAGCCTGGCTTTCGCCTACGGCTCCGGGGTGTACCGCCAGGTGGGGCCCAGTTCAGACCAGAAGGTGAGCCTGGCCCCGAGGCAGGCCCCACGCCGGGAATCGGCCTGTTCTCACGACGTCCCTTTTGCCTTAGATCCCTCCAGAGCCCTAGAGCAGCTCCTCTACTCTGCGCACTGCACTTATCAACTAGCAAAATACAAACCGTAGGAAGGTGTTCCTCGTATAATAACATCGTGAGCTGATTTGAAGGATAAGTAGGAGCCCACTTCGGTCTAGAACAGGAGATGCAATTATGCGGAGGGCAAAGCTGATGGCAGAGGCAAGATGGAAGACAGGAAATATTTGCCTGGTGCTGGTTCAGTGTGCTCAGCCTTGGCTGAACATTGGCGTTTTGTGAGAAACTTTTAAAATGCTAATGCCTGGGTTCCACTTGCAGAGATTCTGATTTACTAGGTCTGGGATGAGACTTGGGCTTCGGGAATTTTAAAAACTTCCCTGGTGATTCTAATGCGCAGCCAAATTTGAGTCTCATCTACAGCTGTGGGAGAAAGTACGCAATGATGCTCTTGACTTCAGGAAGCTGACGGATAGTTGTAGGGCCAGGGCAGATGCAGTGAAGTTACCTACAAAAGTTAATGGCTGACCAGTATATTTACCCATGCTCAGGACATTTAACAAGAGTCTATTTAGGACCAGAAGTTGTTACTCTTCAAAGTTGCCTGACTGCAACAGCAGTGAGGGTACAGTTTGCCTTATGATTACAGACTTTTTTTCCTGTAAAGGAAAAAGGTTTGCTTCCAAGGTGGAAACAAGATTCAAGACCTAGAGCAGTGGAGTGGCAGGCAGATATTTTCATTTAAATGAGGCTGTTACAGACTTTCTCCACTAAGGCTTTAGAGCTTTTGCTAAATTAACAAAAAAGCAAGAGTCTAAATAGAGATGTTTTCTGGTGAACCATATTTTTACTTGCTGTAGTTCATGCACGACCTACCAGTTCATTGTCATCTTAGTTTATTAAACTAAGGAAATGATTGCGATAGGGCCTCCTGGATTTGGACACCTGACTGTAATCTGTTTTTAGGTTAAAGTTTGCCTGTTCCCTTCCTGGTAAGGCCATCTGTACTGTTGCTTGGATTTCTGTTTCCCAACTATATTGTGTTTAAGTAATACTTTGCTTTAAGTTGACAACATATGAGAAATTATAGATGGTGGGTATATAAGAAATTACAGATTTTTATAGGCTAGTTATTTTTTCTAACGTACGTTAACATAATTATACATTTTTTAAAAACGTGTCCACCCCAAATCTTAAGTTTCACCAGTGGTTTGTGGTTTTTGAGAAACTTAAAGCAGGCCTTAGCCTCCTGATTCAATAGCCCCCTCTTCATTTCTCCATGGAGATTTCCTTTGAGTAGGCCTGCCAGGAACCCTTCCCTTTTCCTCGCCCTCATTCCCTACAAGATAATGAGTCTTACAGATTCCAGCAGGAAGTCTCAGATCAGTCCCTACCCTCAGTGCTTCACTTAATGTCTTTTCATTTCTCACCCGAAGTTTTGGTGTTAGCCTCCTGTGTGGTTCCCCACCTTTAATCATCCTTCCCTCCAGTGAGCGCTTCTGCAGGAAAATTTTTTAGCATGGCAACCCAGCCTCCCTTTCTGGACTCCGTTGCTTGTGTTCTGTTCCAGCATAACAAACTAAATGCAGCATCCAGAACATGCCTGGCTCTTATGTCCACAAGAATGCTTTCCTTTAGCAAGACTCCCTTCCCTTCCCCCTATACTTCCACCAAGCCTGCTTAACTCTTGCACATTCTTCAAGACTCAGATTTATCAGATAAAAGAATGTAATTTCCTAGCAAAATTTATCATTTCTGTTCTGACCCCATTCTGAGTGAAATTAGTACATTTTGCATTCCTCTCTATCAAGTTCATTTAGTGATAATTTGTCTATTCTCCCCAGTAGACTTTCTTTACCCCTATCCCGGGCTCTATCAGAGCTCCTTGTAGGTGCTCAGTGAGTGGTTGGAGAATGGGTAAGAGTTAAAATAACTTATTTCCTGTGACATAATGCTTTCCAGAGCTTATCCATCCTGTGTTATTTGAGCTGGAAGAAAAGTGGAACACATTTAGCTACTTTAGATGAAAGCCATGTAGCATAAGGTTCAGCACTCAGAATTTGGAACCAGACTCTGTCTGCCACTGACTAGCTTTGTGTCCATGGGCATGGTTCTTACTCTGTGCCTTGGTTTCCTTTCCTATAAAATTGGGATAGTAACAGTACCTACCTTGTAGGATTGTTCTGAGGATAGAATGAACCACGATACATATAAAATATTTGGAAGAGTTCCAGCAGGACAATACACGTGGAGGAAGCATTGTTATTGCTGTGCGTGTTGATGGAAACAAACTCAGACTGGTTCCAGAGACTTGCTTAAATTTCTGATGACAGCTCAGGTCCTCTATTTCTTAATCATAATGGCATAGAATTTTAGAGCTTTCCACTCTATCTAGATGCCTTTCGAGGAATTAAAACTAAAATCATTCTCTTTTCTTCATTCCCAGAATGCCATGCTGGACTTTGTTTTCACAGTAGATGACCCTGTTGCATGGCATTCAAAGAACCTGAAAAAAAATTGGAACCATTACTCTTTCCTAAAAGTTTTGGGGCCCAAGATTATCACCACTATCCAGAATAACTATGGTGCTGGAGTCTACTATAATCCATTGGTCATGTGTGATGGTAGGGTAAGTGACTTTGGATGTTTGTCTTAACTTGGGCGGTTATTAAATATTAGAATACCAGCTGACTATATGTTCTTGCAGTCAGGAAACGTTCACATTCCTGCTGGATAAAGGTGATTGAGAAAGACTATCTTTAATTATTGCCTTTGGCCCGTGCTTCTCAAATTTGAGTGAGCATCAGACCTCCTAGAGGGCCTCTTGGACACACAGATTGCTAGGCCCCACCCCAGAGTTTCTGATTCCATAGGTCTGGGGTGAGGTTTGAGGATTTGTTGTTTTTTTTTTTTTTAATTGAGATATGTAACATTGTGTTAGTTTTAGGTGTACAGTGTAATGATTTGATGTATGTATGTATTGCAAGATGATTACCACCACAGTAAGTTTAGTTAACATTCATCATCACACAGTTACAGGTTTTTTTTCCTTGTGATGAGAACTTTTTAAGATTTACTCCCTTAGTAACAGGATTTGCATTTCTAACAGCTTCCAAATCATGCTGATGCTGCTGGTCTGGAAAACACGCTTTGAGAACCGCTGGTTTGGTCAGTGGGACGAATACTCAGGTCCACTAAGGATGAGGGTATCACAGGTAGTCAAGAGCATGTGATGCCACACGATAGGAACCTCTTGGTGCCAGCAAGTGGGTAGAATTTGAGGATGCACCCCATCTCCCTGTTGGAGAGCAGATAAGAAGCGCAGATCCCAGCCGAGGGCTGGCTGACGGCAGGAACCCTGCCCAACTTTCACATGAAGGGGCCCAATCTCTAAGAGAGCTGCCAAGAACTGGGCAGGACTGCAGCCTAAGAGGACCAATGGGGGACTAAGTCGTATACCCCCTAGACATGAGCTGGGCTGCCATTGACAGACGGGTTCCAGCAGCTGTGCCAGTTCTGCTCCGTGCTGCTGATGGCTTTGAGAAGTGTTACTTTGATATGCTGATGAGTCACCTGAGGATCTCATTGAAATACAGATGATGATTCAATTGGTCTGGAATGGAGCTTGAGATTTTGCATTTTTTTGATGAGCTCCCAGGTGATGCCGATACTACCGGTCAATGAACCAGGCTTGGAAGGGCAGGAGATTGGAGTACTGACTTAGGAAGGATTTTGAAGACCTGTCTGAACTTGGCAGGAATGAGTACTATGATTGATTGGTGATGTCTGTATAGCCTCTGGGCCAAATGTTTACTTTTCTGGTTGAGGTCTAGTCCTCCTCCAACCTGCATTTTGCAGTTGAGGAAATGAGGATTCAAGAGAATGGACATGACTTCCAGACGGTCATGTAACCAGTTATAAAATGAGAGGCCCCTCCAGGGGGCCACAGGTGTTTCCATTACTTCCCAGCTGTTATGTCCTTCCTTAAGAAGGGCTTTCTGCTCTACTGTGTCCAGATTGGAGGGAAGATGTGGCTCAGTGCAGTTTTCCACATCTACTTTAGTCATGCCAAACACGTAGCTTTGTTCTTTCTCCATAATTAGTATTATGCTGAGCGTATCTCTAATTAGTGGTTTCAAACAATATTACAAGCTCCAGTAACCAAATGTTGGGGCATAATTATATGCCAAAGGGACTGTACTTTTTAATTGAAATTCTTTAGCTACTTTTTAGATATTTGTAGCCTGAGAAGGCTGTTTGGATACTGAAGTTTAGCAAAGTGAGTCTGAAGTTATTTGTTGAAGCAAATGAGATTCTTTAACCTGGAACAACTACATTCAAGGTTTGTACAAATTGCTTTTGAAATGAGCTTGGCCATAATTCCATGTGTTTAGCTCTGATAAAGATGTTTAATTCTTGGATGTGGCTTTGTAATTATAAAAGTGTTGGAAATACTTAAAGAGAAATTCACCATAAAAGATGTTCTACTTAAAGAAAATGTCTTGTACTCTCTGATGAAATGAACATTGGAAGCCCAGACCAACATTCAGGGACCCGGTTTTTACTCAGTTATTAATGGTACCACCTTGGGCACGCCATTTATTAGGCTTATTTCTCAAATGAGAAGCATGAACTGTATCTTCGCTTCACAAACTGTCTGTGGTGCAGACCCAGTTTTTATTTCCAACTCAGTGAGGACCAATATGTGCTAGATAGCCTCTGAGAGCCATTGTGCCTTTAACATCACAAGAGCCTGAGTGAAGATAGTGATCACTTGAACTCGCATCCCTGAGGGGACAGATCAGTCTTGGGAAACTAATCCTTTGTGAAAGATTTTGGTGGAGACGGGTGTTTTCACAAGGCAGAGATTTTAAGTGGCTTTGGAGATCAAGCTATTCTGGTCAGAAATTTTTTTCCTTATGTTTTGCATTTGCAAAAGCAACAGTGTGGTATTTTGCTCTCTTTCATGCCCATATCTTTTCTTTTCTAGCTTATCAAATATGGGGTCATTAGCACTAACATTTTGATTGAAGATCTCCTCAACTGGAATAACTTATATGTTGCTGGACGACTCCAGAAACCGGTGAGCAAGTGTCTTATTGGCTGCCACAGTTAGGGATGTCTCTCCTCTCTGAACCTCACCCTACTTTGATCCGTGTGATTGCAATGAGATGGAACTCCAAGAAACAGAAATGAATTTCAGACTCCTTTTACTCCCTATAGAATTTAGTGCCAAACAATATCCAGATATTACCCACGCTACTCCTGCCTTCTCTCTAAAGATACTCGAATTGTGGAATGGAGAAGGCTCAGAGTCACTGCATTTGGCCTTGGGAGGATGGCAGAAGAGGTGCCCAGTGCCTCAGTGGAACCTCTATCAGCATGAGCCAGATCACCGTTCCAGAATGTAAGTGCCATGGTGCACTCTTTGTCAGCAGTGCCTGGGACAGTGCCTGGGATATAGTAAGCACTCAGAAAACATTTGTTGAATAAGTAAATGAATCAGGTAGTCATTCAGAAGGGAGTAGATTCTGATTCCCTTTCTTAACCATCCTCAGGCCAGTGGTGAGATCCTTTTATAAAGTCTTTCCTTCATTTAGGATGCTGCTAGAGGAGGCTGTGGGGGATAGGCTTCTCCCTGAGTTGTTTTCTTTTTTTTAAAGATTTTATTTGTTTATTTGAGAGAGAATGAGAGAGAGAGCATGAGAGGGAAGAGGGTCAGCGGGAGAAGCAGACTCCCCGCCGAGCAGGGAGCCCGATGCGGGACTCGATCCTGGGACTCCAGGATCATGACCTGAGCCGAAGGCAGTCGCTTAACCAACTGAGCCACCCAGGTGCCCCCCCCCCTGAGTTTTAATAGAAACAAAACAGGAAAAAAGTGGAAAGAACTTGAACTTTTTTTTAAAAGATTTATTTATTTATTATTTTAGCGAGAGAGAGAGAGAGAGAGAGAGAGAGAGAGAGAATGCACAGGGGGAGGAGCGGAGAGGGAGAGAGAGAATCTCAAGCAGACTCCCTGCTGAGCACAGAGTCTAACTCGGGACTCCATGAAACAACCCTGAGATCATGACCCAAGCCGAAATCAAGGGGATGACCAACCGACTGAGCCACCCAGGCGCCCCAAAGGACTTGAACTTTTTTTTTTTTTAAAGATTTTATTTATTTATTTGACAGAGAGACACAGCGAGAGAGGGAACACAAGGAGGGGGAGTGGGAGAGGGAGAAGCAGGCTTCCTGCCAAGCAGGGAGCCCGACATGGGGCTCGATCCCAGGACTCTGGGATCATGACCTGAGCCAAAGGCAGACACTTAACGACTGAGCCACCCAGGTGCCCCAGGACTTGAACTTTTGACATTGTATTTGCATATAATGTTTCTTCTTTTTTGCAGATATATATAGCCTATTTTCTATGAAGGAGTCTTCATAGTTTAAGAAACTATGCGAAATAGTAACAGTTGCTAATCTCACAGCAGGGGAACAATTTTCTTTGTGCTGTTAGAGGGTCTCAAGCCCCAAAACAGGGTACATGGATTGTTCTCAAATGTCTCCCATAAGAGTGATTCTGCTGCTCCCCTTTTTGTCAGTTATGGCAAAAAATTAAGAGATGTATACAAGCTTACCTCACTTGGTTGTGTCATAAAAATCTCTATTGAGTAGCACGTGGGTGGCTCAGTCGGTTAAGCATCCAACTCTTAATTTCAGCTCAGGTCATGATCTCAGGGTCGTGAGATGGAGCCCTGCCTCAGGCTCTGTGCTAGGTGTGGAGCCTGCTTAAGATTCTCTCTCCTTCTCCTTCTGTCCCTCCCCCCACCCAAATCTCTGTTGATATACTCGGTGGTCACAATTCTCTTGCCTTGCTTCTGGACTTCGAATTTAATGGTGTAGCTCATTAAAACATCCAGAAACACTTGATCAGAGCAATAGGTATATGGGTATGTCCATATATAAAAATTTGTCAAGCTTTACCCTTTAGATTTGTGCATTTCACTATGTAATTTTTACTTCAGTAAAACATTTTTTTAAAAGATTTATTTGAGAGAGAGAGAGAATGTGTGTGCACATGTGTGCGCAAGTGGGAAGGGGGGCAGAGGGAGAGGTGGAAAGAGAATTCTGGAGCAGACTTCCCACTGAGAATGGAGCCTGACTTGAGGCTCTATCACAGGACCCTTAGATCATGACCTGAGCCAGAATCAAGAGTTGGCCACTCAGCTGACTGAGCCACTCAGGCACCCCAGTAAAACATTTTTTATTAAGTCCAGAAACAATAGGCTTACTGAAATAATTTCATATTTATGTAGATGAATTTCTCATTTCTAAGCTGGATAAAGGTAATCCAGTAAAGCTGGATAATTAGTAAAATAATTGAATGAATAGAAATAATTGAAAATTTGTAAATATTAATTTTCCTTCCAAGTTTTTTTCTTTCTTTTTTTTTTTTGGTTTATAAAATATGGGGGCACCTGGCTGGCTCAGTCAGTGGAGCATGCAACTCTCGATCTCGGGGTTGTGAGTTCAAGCCCCATGATGTAATTAGAAATGATTTAAAAACATAAAAAAGATTTAAAAATAAAATAAGTTTACAAAATATGTAGCTTAATGGAAATAGTAGTGAAAGCGGAATTAGAAGCCTTAGGTCTTATTCATTCCTGCCACTTGTTAGCTGTTTATGTGAATTTAGGAAACTTGTTTTATCTTTTTGAACCTCAGTTAATTTATTTGTAGGATGGAGTAACAATACAGTACTTGCCCTCACAAAGGTGTTGACAAGTGGAAGCAGAATGATAAAGCCGGAAAGAACAGGGGTGTTTTAGAATCAGATGTAGGGTTTGGGTCCCAGCTATGACACTCCCCAGCTATGTGACCCTGCACCAGTGACTTAATTTCCCTGAGCCTTGGGACATCCTTCTCTGTGGAATAGGCTGATGACATCAACCTTAAAAGGCATTTGGGAAATGCCTAGATCTAAAATGCCTGGCACTTAGTAGATACTCAGGAAATGATCATTCCTTTCTGTTTGTCCTTGCCTATCTCAGAGTTATTTTGAGATAAAATGAAATTTTTAATGTGAAAATGTATTATTCTCTGTGCTATGCTTTGTGCTTGGAATATTTCAATTTTTTTCTTTTAAATAAGCTTTAGAAAATGAAACGCCCTGAAATCTCAGAAGTTAGCACGGAAATGACCTCAGATTTCATCTAAATGTCACATATCCTGATAAAATAAAAAAAGCAATTCGAGACCAGTAGTAGCTGCTACAGTCATCTTGATAAAAACTGCATTTCTCAGCTAACTTGGAAAAGAAAATGTTATTGAGAACAATGACTGTTCTTCAAGCTTATTAAACTAATAACTCAAGAAAATTAGGCTATCTTAAGACTTATTTGAAAGTGTTGAGTGTAACACATGGTAAAAAATTATAAATGGGTGAATTAACTCACCATTAGCATTTTCCCTGTCACATGGAAATTACTGCTAATCAAAGAATTGTCAGTGGTAATGATCTTTTTAAAACCAGTGATTTTTACCGCCAGGTGGCAGCAAATAGTAATCAAACGTGAACAAACCTGATGAAAAGACAGGGTTGGTAGCCTTGTGGACAAAAAAAAAAAAGGGTGAAGGCCTTCGAATTGTGAGAATCTGAGTACAAATTCTTTGTTTTTATATATTTTAAAAGAAGGAGGTATTTTAAATTGTCTAAAGCTCTAACATTATCTTCCATATTGCAAATAGAACAGAATTTCTCAATTCAAGTCTTTAAAAGGCATATACCAGAGGGTGTATGTATTTTCCAGTCAGTTTTGCTATGACTCTAAAACTGCTCTAAAAAAATAAAGTTTATTAATAATATTTTCAAAATATAAAGGAGTACCTTGCTTAAAAAGATGGACTTTCTGGAAAAAAAATTGAGTGTAAATTAAATTTCTATCATACTTTACCATTAACTTACCCTGTAATTGAGGTTAGAAAAGTCATTTTTATTTCTAGTGCAGCTTTAAGTTTCTGAGTCACTTACAAAGTTATTTTTCAAGAAAAGAGCCATGAAATTCAAAGTAGTTAATAGAATCTTGTGGCCAGTTCTTTTTTAAGTCAAAAGAACCCTAAAGTAATATTAATAGTCATTTCCCTAATTTATTTAACATAAGTCTGGATTTTTGTATTTCATGTTGTTTTTAGTGTATAGATAATTTGGCTTGAATTTTTAAGGCATTCTCATTGACATACAATAGTATTTTGCTACCTTGTTAAGAGGATTTTAATTTATTTTAATGTGTTCATTCCAATATTTTTTCTTTTATTTTCTAGTAATATAGCTTTTTTATAACATGTTATTGAGAAGGATTCACATATCATACAATTCAACCATTTAAAGTGTACAGTGGTTTTTAGTATATTCACAGTTTTGCAATTATTATCCTATAATAACTTCATTGATTTACTTTTTGTGGCTAGAAGAATCCCAGTGGTATTATAGATCCCTGAAAGAGAGCTGGAAGACCTGACTTACTGGTCTTGGCTCTGCCAGGCTGTGAGCAAATGTTTGTGCCCCTAGCCTTTGAAATGCAAAATTTGAGCCATTAATTTACTTATTCAAGAGACAAGTTTCTTCTCTGTGGATGCTAAAGGAATAAAAAATAACACACATTGTTGGCCCTGGAAGAACCCACAGTCCAACAGGTAGATGATAAGGTTTCATCCAACTCGAATGTTCACTGTTTCTTGGTCCTCAAGCAGCGACCATTTAGAAAAATTAACTTTTCTGGCCATTTGGAATGGAAAACTTCTATGGGAAGTGCCATTTGGTTACTGGTTGAGTGTTTGAAGGCTAGGTAGGGCCTTGTTCTTTGTGACTATAACTTCACTGTTTGCAATTCAAGGACTGTCTCCATGTGACTGTATTATAGAGGAGACCACATGTGACTCTTTTTTTTCTATCTTGAAAGGTACTCACAAATCTCTCAAGTTGAAAGTCCCTTCAAGCTTTACCCCTTCCTCTCTCCAGTAACGGTCTTCCCCTTGGCAGTAGTGTTAATGCTATCTATGCGGTTCAGGTCGGGGCATTCCCAGTCAGATACAAACAGCTATTCACAAATCTGAGGACTTTCTTTTTTTTCCCAGGCCTCTCTGGCAGTGTCCCAAGAGTTCACTGGCTTTTCACTCTGAACCACAAATAACAGTGCTGCTGAGACAAGTGCCTAGGTCACCTTACACTGAAGAGCCAGATCAGCACAGTTTCAGTCTTCTGAATTCACATTTTTCCTTTAAGTAAGGATGCTTTTATTTTTACTCTCTTAACCTTAAATAGCAAACAGACTGCTTTTTTACAACCTAAATAGAATGACTTTCTGGGAGAATAAGTGTATTGCTTTAAATAAGAAAATTTCTCCAAACTTACTCTCATTTGTTAGCATCTCAGAATAACTTCTGTTTTCATTGCGCTTCTGTAAAAGCCACCAAAAAGAGAGAGGACGAAGAATTATTGAGCAGGACCTGGTTGAGGATGAAGAACAGGAATTTGGAAGTAAACAGGCTTCTTAGGGTGGTAGAAAGAGCTCTGGATAAATCAGGGACCGACTACTGGTGTGCCACTACTTCTCAAGGGAAGATCTTTTAACCCTCTAACCCTCTGGGCCTTAGTTTCCCCATTAGATGAGAAGGTTGCCCTCCTAGATCTGTGATTCTATATGGAATACAAAGTTTGGGAAAGTTATTCGAGGAATGAACATAGAAGTCATACAGGAACTTCACATTTCTTTTAATCATCTTTCAAGATAAGAAGTTAACCAGAACAACAATAACAAAAAAGTTAACCAGAACAGACCCCCAACTGAATGCATGAGAATAATTCAAAAAATTTAGAGCTGAATCTGCCAAGTATAAGGGTGTTACCCTGATTTTTGCCATCAACTCATTATGCAACATTGGGCAAGTCATGCTACTGGACTGCACTGTCGTTTTCCTTTCTGCAGATGATTGCAATAATGCTAAACTCACCCAAGTGCTGAAAGGCTTAATTAAGGGCTATTAAGTGCTGTAATTACAAGGGAGGAGTTGGTAGTATTGAATAAAGTGGCTTACCTACCATATAAGAGGTTTGAGTATTATAAATATTCCCTTAGAAAAAAAGTAGGGACAAAAGGTAGAAGATAGAAGTTAGACTCTTAATAAAATAGTTATGTTTTATACTGTCATTTTGGACAACTAAAAAAAGAAGAAACTACTTCGAGACATACATCAGCCTTTCTCCTTACTGTCTAATAAAATTCTAATTTAGTTTCTGATAGTGTATGCCTTTTATTTATTTTTTTGATAGTGTATGTCTTTTAGTGCCATCTTAATTTTTCTCAGAAATCGTCTTTATTTGACAGATAAAAGGCAACTTAAGCCCTCTTTTCTAGAATTGGGGAAGATTTGGTGACAGCACTAAATGGTTTACAGAAGATGGATACATTTCAGATAGGTGAGGGTCCTTTTTAGGGATTTGTAGACTCTTTCCTTGTTTATAGACAGTCAATCAGAAGCAGCCTGACTGATATAAAGCCTGATTAAGCCTGATGGTTTAAAAAGATTATACCAAAAAAAAAAATAAAATAAAATAAAAAATAAAAAGATTATACCGGGAGTGTAAATTGGCCCAACCACTCTGAAGAGTCATTTGGCATTTCTTCTTCTAAATATGTACCTGAGAGCCATGGTTCTCAAAATGTGGTTCCTGGACCACCGGGGAACTTGTTAGAAATGTACATTTTCAGGCCTGACTCAGGTATCCTAATCAGAAATACTGGGGGATGGGCCTAATACGCATTTTAATAAGCTCTCCCAAGTGATTGTGGTGCTTGCTAAAGGTGGGAATCTCTGGCCCAGGGACGCTCTTGTATTGCACCCAAAGACACAGAAGGAAGCTCACTTCATCTAAGGGTTCGTATGCAATATCTCATTTAATCTAACCAACAACCTTATCAATTTGATTCTGTTATTAACCCCATTTTCTGATAAGGAATTATGGCCATAGTCACAGAGCTAGTAAGAGATGGAGCTGGGTCTTGAACACATTTTCTTAACTACAGTACAGTCTTCAAAACAGTCTCAGAACAGACTGGAGAAATTTGTATTTTAATGGATTTGAGGAAAGTTAAAGAGAGTACCTTCTGCTGTGTATTCAGGGGAAAAATCCTTTTTTATTGATCAAGGCATTCACTAGTACATTAGGTGCTTTACATTTATTATTTCATTCAATCTTTGTAACAATTCTTTGATGCACATTTATCGCCATTTTATAGATGAGGACTTAAGTTCAGAGAAGTTAAGTAATTTGCCCAATTTCACACAGCTAGTAAATACCTAGACCTGAGACCATACCTACCCCCAAACCCATGCTGTTTCCACTGTAGCTAATTTTCTTTCCTTTTTTCCTTAGTCAGGTTCAAAATCAGTTCAAAATAAAGCACAAAGTGCTTAGGTTATATGTGGATAAGAACAGAGGTGAGTTCTAAATAAAGAAGTAAAATGCCTTTGTCTACCATAAAATTAAGTAAATAACAATGAGATTATAAAATTTAAAAATACAAAATTTCCCAAAGGATGTTTATTTCATTTATACTGACTTCTTTTTTAAAACCCATGGAGAATTTCCTCATTTAAGAGAAATACTTATTTTGTTTTCTTTCCTGTATCATATCTTTAATTCTGGCATAAAACACAAACCCTTGGGATTGCTTATTAGAATAATAATTATTTTGTGTCTACTGGCCTAATATTCTAAGATCTTCAGGGCTAAGGGTTTGGGATAGTTCCAGTGCATGTGTAAACCCATAGCTTGACCAATAGTCCACTTTGACATTTTTCTTCTAAATGTTCTGCTTTTTTGCAGGTGAAAATCATAGCAATGAATGAGAATGTTGCTCTTAGGTCAGCCCTCGATAAAAATCTGAAGAGTGCTGTGACCACAGCTTTCCTCATGCTCCCTGAAAGCTTTTCTGAAGAAGACCTCTTTATAGAGATCGCCGGACTGTCTTATTCAGGTTAGTAGATTTGGGCTCACGTTTTCTGCAGGAAGGAGATAACGTTATTTGAAGAACATGCAAACAGACATCTTTCTCCTCACTCTGCACTGGAGCTGCGGCGCCCCCTGCTTCTGGATCCCACCACTTCCTGTGCAGGTGACTGCAAGAACCCCATGATCTGCCTCCTTGCCTCCAAGGGCTCTTTCTGTCCACATCTGTATGTAGATCTCCCCAGGGTAGTATTGTTGTTACTATTCATTTTCATTTTGAAACAATTTCAAACTGACAGAAAAGTTTCAGTAATACAAAAAATTCTCATATGCCCTTCCCTGACTTTGCCAGTTTTAATGTTTCACCACATTTGTGTTATCATCCTCTTTGTGTTCCGGTGATTTTCCAACTTGAGTGTGCACCAGAATCCCCTGGAAGTACTGGGCGCACCCCCACACAACTGCTCTGGCAGGTCTGGGGTGGAGCCTAAGAATTTGTGTTTCTAGCAAGTGCATGATGCCAGTGCTCCTCCAGGGATCCACTGCCCTCTCTGTACCTGTAAATACTGTATTATGTATTTTATTTTTCTGAACTATTTGAGAGTAGCTCACACATATCCTGGCCCTTCAGGCCACATATTTCCAATATATGTTCCCCAAGAACAAGGACATTCTCTTCCATAACCACAGCACAGTTACCAAATTCAGGAAATTTCACACTGATACAGTACCTTTTTTTTTTTTCTTTAAGATTTTATTTATTTGACCGAACACAAGCAGAAGGAGAGAAGGAGAAGCAGGTTCCCAGCTGAGCAAGGAGCCCCATGTGGAACTCGATCCCAGGACTCTGGGATCATGACCTGGGCCGAAGTCGGCCGCTTAACCGACTGAGCCACCCAGGCGTCCTGATACGGAACTTTTATCAGATTGATGATCCATAGTCCATATGTCGTCAGTAGTCCTGTGATGTTCTTTCTCCCTGAAGTACACAGTCTAGTCAAGGATCATATTTATTAAGATGCCCTGTCTCTTCTATCTTTTAATCTGGAACACTTCCTTAGCCTTTCTAGGTCTTACATGACATTCACATTTTGTAGTCTCAGACCGGTGATGTGTGTGCCTGATAAGCAGAGTTTTGCCTCTTCTAAGCAACCAGTGGGGAGACATTTGAAAATGAAGCAAATCCCCTGCTTCTTATCAAACTTTCCCTTTTAGATCGAGCATTAATTGATGATTCTTGCTCCAACCAGTCTTTACTACGATGGTTACAAAGTGGCGACTTTCCAAGTTCACCTCTTCTTGCCCATTAAGGAAAAGCTTTCCCTTCTTCCCCATTCATTAGTTTATTTATCTAAATCTTAACTTCCTTTCCCTGTCTCCTTAAACCAGTGTGTTCCTCAGAGATGTCAGGGGCCCCTGCAAAGGGAGAGGGGAAAGCTGAGAAGATAGAGCCCTTAGCCCCTCATCCTTCCTGTTTAGTGTATTAAGGATCCATGTAAAATTTTACTTACAAAAAAAGTAGCCTGCTACTTAAAAAACAGTTTGAAACCACGGTCTTAAATAAATGTCTTCTTTCCCAACTTTTAAGTGTGAGTCAAAGAACTCTATGCTGAAAACACTGCAAAAGAGTTTACTCATTTTCTGAATCCATGTACAGATAAGATTTCATGGAAATATAATGCTGAAAGAGACCGTAAAGGCCTTGTTCTCCAGGCTTTTTCCCAAAATGCAGCTAGCAGGACTACAGCTGCGGTCGCAACACTGGAGAGAAAGGAAGTGACGTAACCTCGGTCTTGGTGGCTTCCAGCTCCACATGGCAGCATCCCTGCCTTTCAACAGGAAGTGGCGGGGGTTGGGGGTGGCGGCAGAGGCTGCTGTGGCTAGGTACTAGAATGAATGGGCCTGTGTGCAATGTGTGGGGAAAGGGGGTCACCCTGTTAGGGTGATTCCCTCCCCTTGGTCCCCTGTGAAAAAAGATGGATCCAAAACCTTTTATGAAGGGTTAACTTTGTGGGAGAATGATGCAGAGCCAATTTCTACTTGGCCCACACCACTGCCACTCCTCCATTTCCTCCCCTGTGATCCATATCAGCGTAGTGTCAGGTGGATTCTAGGAGTTCCTATGAATTCTGAACATTGACTAAGGAAGTTTCTCGAATGGCATAACTGCCTTTACCTTTTAGCAGACTTCAAGTTAGCATGCAAGCTGCTATCAATCTTTAGCTGACTTTTGCTTTGTCTCCTGGGAGGACTGTGTTTTATACTCCTGGTTTCTCCAGTACCGTGAGACATGTACAAAGTGTTCAGTAAGTGCTTGCTGACTCATAGCAGTATCATTGTCTGTTTTGCTTCTTTTATAATTTTTATGAAGGGCTGCTATGTAGCAGTGCTGTACCAGACGCAGTAGGTGGGTGGGGGGAGAGGATAGATATATAGATAAATCGATCATTGATTCCGTCATTGAATCCTCACACAACAACTGTTTGTTCAACAAATATTTCCTTTGTGCCTTCCATGTGCCCCACACTGCGCTAGGCCCTGGGTATACACTGGTGAGCCTGACATGAGTAAGACTCCTTGTGGAGTTCATGTTCCCTTAGGCAGAGGCCGACAGTCAAGAAGCAGAAAGGTCATTTCAGAGAGCAGTAAGTGCGATGAGGAAAAGAAAAGAAATCCTGAGGAGGGCCACCTCTACCTTGGATAGGCAAGGAGGGCCCTCTAAAGTGGTGATATTTGAGTTCAGATCTAACAGTGGCAAGGAGTGTACCCCGAGCTTCTGGGAGCAGGGCAGATTGGGAGAGTTGCTTCCTAAGAGGCAGGTCCTAACCTTGCTGCACCTGATTTCGGCTTTCTCAGCTTCCAGTTTCTCCCATTTCTCATCTTGTCTCCTCTTCCTCCCTTGCCATTATATTATTTGTTCCTTAACCCAGATTTGGATCTGAGAATTTGGCCAAGGATCCTACATTACTCATTTCATTGAGGTTGGCTTCTTTTTACTGAAAAACTTAGGACACAATACTTGGCACATCCTCTCCATAGGGAACTGATTCCAACTCTGTGCAGTTGCTAGTTTATGAATGAGACATTTTCCAAAAAGCATTCTATATGCCAGTTGTTTAGAACTGGGAACATATTTTTCCACTAAGACAACATTATATGATGCTCCTAAGCCAGAACACTGTATAATTAATGGTTACCTACTCCATAATAGAATGAAATTAGAGTAGAATAGTGAGGATAGGGAAGGATCTAGGCCCTGCAGGTAGATGCCTTTCATAGGTATGAGACCCACCCCAGGCCATGTGTTGAAAGGCAAGCCTTTCCTCCTCTCTTTCCTAGACTTCTGAGAACCCATTATCCTTGAACTGATTGGATTCTATCCTGTCGCCAAACCTCCCAAGCCCCCAGAATATTCTAAACTACAAATTACCCACCAATCTCATTTTTATTTACAACTTTGACATTTATTTTCCACTTGAGAGAGAATACGTTGCTTCTGACCTGCGTAGGTTAGCTTTTCTCCCTGGAAGGGAGTAGGGCTGGGGAGACAGGAAACAGCATCTCTCCATGTTATTAGACAAGTTCCTGCCAGTAGTTACTAGCAGAGGCAAGATCTGTCTGTATTAGTAGTAGTAATAATAACCCCTTACGTTTTATATAGTATTTAAGGATCATTTTGACTGCCTTGGGGGTCAGTATTGATGACATTATTGTAAATGATGGTGAGAAAGGAGTAGGTGGGAGATGAGAGCCAGCAAAATTGGGGAGGAGAAAGCTTTCTAATCCTTCAGTTATTCTTAGAAGTCAGCATTTAAGTAAACAGAAAAGGAAAACCAAATGAGCTTTAAAGGGTCACCTTGACCTTTCTCATGTAAGTACAAACCATTAAAATGACTAATTTTACATAATGATCCTGGTTTAACATTTATCAAATGAATCAGCGTCCCATACCTCATGAAGAATTAAAGCTATAATTTCTGCTCTAAAGAACTTCACATTAATAAACATGCAGTCATAGTGAGTCAGTGAAAGACTTAAAAAACAACACGTATGGAAAAGGCAGGGAGTGTGAAAGAACATGGCTTGTTTAGGGAATCAGGAGTAGATTGATGTGACTGAAGTCCATGGCTCATGGCAGGAGAAAATAGCACTTATTGTTATTTGCCAGGAACAACTCTCAATACTTTTGATCTAATAGCTAGTTTAATCCTCACAGTCCTCCTTTGATTTGCATGCTGCTTTATTGCTCCATTTTAAGATGGGAAAACGGAGGCCCAAATCTGTCTGATGGGTTCGTGGGTGGTGGAGCTGGAACTGTAGCTCATGCTCTTCACCATTTAATTTCACTACCTCTCAGGTATTTTGGACAAGAGGTTAGGCCCTGGCCAGGCCAGACTAGGCATTGAATACAAAGTTAAATGAGACTGGAATTTGACATCCCGTACACAACTAGGAGCCACAGGAGGTTTCAAGCATTGCGAGATGGCATGAGATTTGTTGCTGTAGAAAGATCATTTTGCCAGCACTGTGCAGGAGGGAGGGAGACTAAAAACGGAGAAGTCTTACTCACTGAGCAAATAAGGACGAGCGTCTCCTATGCCCAGCACTGTTTAACCTCTGGATGAAGGAGGTATATCAGGCAGGCGTCATCCCTGCCGTTGTGGGGCTTTCATTCCAGTTGAAAAGTCAGACAGCAAACTTGTGGCAGCGTTCAAACGGGAGGAAGACCAACGTGGTTTATGTTAATGTAACCAGGGAAGGCTTCGGTGGGAGGTGACATTTGAACTGAGCACCAATGGTAAGGACCCACGAGGAGAGCCCACATGAGAGCTGTCTAGGCAGGGAGGAGTCTAGTTAGGCTGTACCCGTGTCTGGTCCGCCTCGAACCCTTGGCCTCTGGAACAGTTCTGTGGCACAAAGTAGGCACACTGCCCATCTTTGTTGGCTGGATAGACAGAACATGAACCAGAGTAGCACCTCAGCGAAGTGTACAAATTCTTATGAGCAGAATTGACATTCAACCCTTAA